ATTGCACAATGGGTAAAAATAAGAATATAAATGACTAATTCTATAAAAAAGTATTTATCATACATGTATATGGTTTACAAATTGAATTCTTAATAATTATCTTTAATTTACATTTACAGTATTTATATTATAACTGATTTCATTATTAATTTTATATTCTCCAACAACCAAACTTTCCATTCCATTGTGAAATTTTGAGAAAAACATAATTTGTTAAACAACAGCTGAAATTAAACGTCAGTAAACTGCCAGAAATAGAGCATATATTTATATATGATTATATATGATTTAACAGTGTTAACGGCTATCCTGATTTAGATTATATGCACACATAATAGTGGTTATGACACTCGCCTGGACAATGAGAGGTTGTCAATAGCAAATTAATCCTAAGCTAGATAAAAGCAAGACCACCCAACATTGTTCACCCTGTTGCCCACCCACTTTAACAATGGTATATTCCAATTGGGTGGTTTATGTCCTGGGTGGTTTATGTCCTGGGTGGTTTATGTCCTACATTCGTTGTCTTCAAGGCACACTCATTTGAATGATAGTACCTGTACTCTCAGAACAAAGGAAAAGAATACGACAACAATGGTGTATTTTCATCTGTTTAGTTCTTTTGTAAGGCTGTCTTCATTCATGTTTTCATATGTAAATATGTTATGATGCATTTTGGTAGTTAGTTCCACAGTGTTAACATAGTTAAAAGTAACAGTTTTTATTTTAATATCTTAATACCTCGTCTTCCTCTGTGGTTTAGGCGGTAATGCCAACCTTCCAGGTCGTTGTTGGTCCTTATGCACTGATTGTAGTAAAATTTTTCACACATTGTACAGTAAAGAATATAACACCATGTATCTTTTGTATCTTGTTTTATTGGTAAACAGTGTAGTAATGGAATGGTTAAATGCTTTAAATGTATATAATTAGACAATCACGTTGTACATAAAACATATCGGAGATGGTTAAATGCTTTAAATTTATATAATATATAGGCCTAGGCCTAATGAAGAAATATACAGTTGGAGATTTCAAGGCAGCGGCGGGTGTAATAAAAATAAAATAAAAAAACAACTTTGATTTTATTATGAAAATTATTATTGGCGGGGCACTATATTATCTGAGATGTCATCAAAGTTGTACGTAAAACAAAAGGGGCAAGATGTGTTAAATATTTTCTCTTTATTCACCAATTCTCAACATTGAAAATAAATCAAAAATTTAAACATATTTCAAGAAGTGACGAAACAAAGTTGTATACTATACAACCGCATATTGTTTTACATCACATTTTTATTCATTACCGTATCACGCAAGAAAAATGTATCTAACGTATCAACATCAAACATTTTCACATTGTACATAAAACTTATCTGAGGATGTACAATAAAACTAACAATACATAATAATTCTTATCATGGCATAGGGCGCCTATATTATATTAATAAGACTCATTCTATAGTAATAATAATAATAATAATAATAATAATAATAATAATAATAATAATAATAATAATAAACACAGAGACACTTGAATCACCCATGAGTGTTTTTCATCAAGGCCGTGCAAGGCCATACATAATTAGAAAAGAAAAAATTATTGAAAACAAAATGAGTTAAAGAAAACAACAAAAACATAATATCTTAATTACAGTGAAACTATCCCCAGCCGGACACAACCCGGTATTTCTAAGTTTCGGGGATAAAAATAATCATTTACTGTATCTTTAAACAAATATAGATTTAATATTCTACCGTGCAAGGCCATACATAATTAGAAAAGAAAAAATTATTGAAAACAAAATGAGTTAAAGAAAACAACAAAAACATAATATCTTAATTACAGTGAAACTATCCCCCGCCGGACACCAACCCGGTATTTCTAAGTTTCGGGGATAAAAATAATCATTTACTGTATCTTTAAACAAATATAGATTTAATATTCTTGTTTTAATGACGTATATCCAGCTGTTGTATGACTACGTTCTCATTGGCGGCTGTTGTGTATTCGGTGGCCCATTTGGCGTTCCATACATTTGGCGCGGCGGCCGGCGATTTTTTTTTCCGTACGAAACATTTACATGAAACTCCACTCGGGCCGTCTCGGCTGAATCGACCCGAAAATCTCATTGCAGAATTCAGGAGGTCAAAAGGTCAACACATAATCGTCTACACAGAACAACTTCTGAGAGAACGTCGCTGTCTAATTTTTTGAAATACATTGATGTTACCACGTTAATACCAATGGGTCGTTTAAAATGACATATAATATTTGATTAAGCTCCACGAGTAATGAAAAGTGTTATTTTAACTTGAGTTACATACTATGACAATTTTAATT